GCTCTTTAAATAATGTGTAGATTAAGGTAGAGTTAGAAGAATATTGATGATTGTAGCTATATTTATGAGTTTTGTTGTTAGAAATAGAATATATTGCAGTGTTAATTATTAAATATTCAATCTTGTGCTAAGTAGTTTCAATGCTTTTATTGGTATTGCTATTGAGTAGTGTATTGTAAAAGCTAAGATTGTAAAAGAGAAGGTCAGAAAATTCTGTCTATTTGTCAGTTGACATAACTTTGTAATTGAAAATTCTGTGACTGATGCCAGTATAATAACATGGTGGTTTGCTATATGCATTAGTAAAAGTCTAGGTAAATATAAAAATAGAATAGTCACTAAGTGTTGAGGTATTGCTATCATCAAGTTTGTATGAAAAAAAGAATTGAATATTGAATGAATCAGTTCAGATATAATCAATGCAATTGTAACTAGTATTATTTGACTATGTAAAATGCTTATTATCAATATATGCACCAAGATCAAACATGTTAGAATAATGTAAATAATTAATAAGTTTATATTTAGATAAAGAGCTACAGATATCATTATATGTATTAAAGTTTCCAAGTATTATTAGATGAAGGTTGTGTTAAAGGGCTTGTTGAATCCATATAATAACAGTATTTTGTGTATTATTATGTTTTTGCATATCAGTAAAAGAAAGATAGACAGCTATAATTTAAAGTTTAATTTCATTTTTAAAAAATAGATCTAAAGCAATTGCTCTACTAGGGTGTGTTTAGCAGTTGTGTATGTGTGGTTGTAAGTGTTTTTGAATCATAATAGCAGCATCTTTTGCTGAACTTTCTGAATTGGCCCAGAAGTAGGTAAATAAGTTGTTATTGTGAAATTAAAGATTAGTACTGTTAGCAATTTTGGTTTTAGTAATACAAGAGATATGGATATTATTGTGAAAACAATAATTTTGCCAAGCTTCTCTTTTTGTTGCTGTATTATAACCTTTAACATTGTGTATATAAATATTTAAGTAAAGGTCATGTAAAGTTTGTATAGGTATGGGTACTTGTGATGTAGTGTAACTGTTTAGAAATAAGTTATATAAAATAGAAGTAGAATTACATGTTCTTAAATTAGACTCTTTTAATATTAACATCATTTGTTAATAGCTTATGTCTTATCTGATTGTTCCTGACCCTGTGGCTATATTGGTTACTGCATTCTTTTCATATGAATCTTGTTCTTGCTTTTTTTTTTTTTTTTAAGTAAAAATTCTCTCAGATCTTTTTTAATCATAGTCCTGGCAGAGCTTTTGTCTCTCTTTAAACTCAAACTTGTAACCTTGTAATTGAAACCCAGGAGCACTAACCACTGCACTATAGATCTATAGGTTTATTATATCTAAGTTATATATAAGTTATAATTATTATTTTATTTAAAATTTTTTATTTAATTTTATATATAATCAATTTGAATTTTTCTAATATAAAAAATATAATAACTTAGTAAAATAGATAAGTTATTACCTTTTTAAATGACAGATTATAAGTTTAAAATCTACTAAAGATAAAATTTAAAAATACATCTGTATTATAACAATAGTATTTAATTAACTAGTTGAAATAAGATATTTGTAACTATAATTATATCAACATAATTAGCAAGTCACTAAATTTTTATATAACTTAATTATACAAAAAAATACAAATTAATATTAAGCAGTACAAATCTAAGATAAATTCTTGTAACTATATAAATATGTAGAATTAGAAAAAACTATATAAAAAAATAATACAGATTTTTAATAATATTACTATAAAATCTAGACCAAAAAAAATAAATAACATATAGAGAAATTAAGTGATCAAAAACTGTTAGATAAGAAGTACTACTAAACAGACTCAAGATTTAAACCAAAGAAAAAATATCTAACTGAACTTGATATATTAAAAATAATTTATAGTTCTTTTAAACTATCTAAATTAAAAGTTTGAAAATAAAGCATAAGTATACTGAAGTGTTAGAAATATGTTGTAAAGTAGATACTAGGATTTGAGTAAACTCTATAAGAACAAGTTTTTGTTAATAGTTTATAAAATAAATAAATTAGTTAACAAAAAAAGTCTTCTAAGTCTTACTAACAAGTAATAAGTAGTAAAATATATAATAATCTAAGTATTAGTATAAAAAAAAGGTATATACTGCTTAAATAATATACTAATTAAGTATATACAAAAAATTTGTGTTATTTAAATAATTACCAAAGCAGATAATTAGAAAGTTTAATTAAATAATTTTTTAATAAATTATAAATATAATATCTAATATAAAATATTAGAATAAACTACTTAAATAGGCAACTAAAAGTTACATATATGGTTAACTGTACTTTTATTTTAGTAAAAGTAATTGTAATAACTAACTTCAATATATTAATAAAATATTATTATAAAATATAACCTTTAAAAAATTTTTGTAATATTATATACTATTATTCTATTAAAAAGATTTGTAAATTTTAATAGTTTTGTTTTACATATTATATTAAATATTATATCTTGTAAATTTTTTTACCATGTTCTGAAAGTTTTTAAAAAAACAAATTCAAAACAAAGTTAGTAATTGTTATTTGCATACTTCAATATTTTAAAAAAATTTTTAAATAATATATATATAAAAGATTATATATTCTAATATTTATATTTATATAACTTCTTTAAATTGTTATTTTAAACTTTTTTGTTTTTTGTAAAATAAACAAAATTTTGTTAACATTATAACAGTTAATTAATTATAATTTTAATTAATAAAATGTAATATAAAAGCTGTAAAATTAAAAGGAATTAAAAAAATATATTGTAAAGCAAGATGAGAGCTTTAAGTTTATTTAAAAATTTACTTATTTAATAAAGAAAATAATCTATCTGATCTTTTGAAAAAATTATTATAAAATATATAAAAAATTTTTATTAATAATTATATTACAATCAGATTGCTATTTTCATAATTAAGACTTTATTTTCTGTTTTTTATTTGTATTTTATATTTATTAAATTTTTTTTAGAATTTTTTTAAAAATAAAGTAATCTAAATTTAATTAGTTGCTATAATTTTTTAATAAAGTCTATATAAAATCATCTAAACCAGCTAAGCTAATAAAATTGACTACAAGTGCTTTGATTAAACATCTATATTATTATGCAAAAATAATTAGTAATAATCAGTATCTTTATGAACTTTACCTAACAGAAGAACCTATTTAATGTTATATGAATATTCATATTATAGCTAGCTAATTAAATTGCAAAATTCAAAAATTAAAGAAGCATAATAACAAACCAAAAATAAAACAAACAAATTAAATTAATTTTAAAGTTTATAATTTTAAATTTAGAATAAGTGTCTAAACTTGCCTATAGTTGTTTCTAATAAGCAACAAATGTTAATTACTTATTAATCAATTAAATAATCTCTATATAATGTAATTACTATTACTTATAAAAACTGAATACAGTAACTTTTCCTATATTCAACTTTATTTAATAGAAAATCCAAGTATCTTATCTTGTACAATTTATTATAACATAATATTAATTAGTTAATAAATGCATAGTTTTATCATAATATATAAAAATATAGTAAATCTTTATTGTATTTTTTAAAAAAAATTAAAAATATAGTTTGTTAGTTAACTTGTTACTTGGACTTTTGAAAAATTTTATATTAAGTATGTAATAAATATTATATTGTAATCTTTTACTAGGTTACCTTTACTAAATCGTTGCTTTCAACTTTTTCCTGTCTTGTTCACTCAACAAGCTGAATTTTAGCATTCTAGTAATTTTGTATTCTATATTTGCTTATTCTTTATATATACTATCATTTATTAAATTGTAATATAAAACTTGGTAAATTCAAGTGAATTCAAATGATATTATTAAAATACAACACGAAAACTTCAAGTTTGCTTAGCAGACATATCTGCATTTCATTATGAAATATATGCTACACAAGCCTGTGAAAAATTACTTTAAAATGTATAAATTACAACGTTAATCAATTGTGTAACATGTTTCTATTTTTAGGTACAGTTCCTCCTAGAAGACAATATATGACTACCGTTTATTGGACCATTATACTGAATAGTGAAGATAACTGACTACGTTTTCGTCTAAAACTGCAATATATTCAAATGTTATTCTAAAATCGATTTCTATTTTAAAAAAGGGAAATTCTAGGCATCTCTGGTCAGAGATGTTTACTTATACACTCTGGCCCAAAACTATATCCCATTATATAACTTTAATTAAGGTTAGGGTCGCATAGGTTTGCAAAAAGATGAAGTTATAAGCAAAATCGTCTTCCTGTTATTTTTAATTAGTGCTCTGAAATAGGTTTAGATATCCGTTTTTTGTAGTTTTCATGTTTTTTACTTTGTTGTTGTTTTTGTCTTGTCGGAATAATCATCTTTTGTGTTAGTTTGTATTACATGAAACGACCTGAAACAGCTATCAAGTGATTTATTTGCATTTTAATTGACTATTAGGCCAGAGATATATATATTAAACATCTCTGACCAGAGAAGTCTAGAATTACACTTTTAAAAAAGCATTTTTTTGATACCTAAAAAAAACAATCAATTTTAAAAAAACACTTTTAAAATTTTTCCGCAAAAAGTTATTCTTTAAGCATATAGTCCAGCGGTTGTGCACCAAATAAAAACACGACAAAATTGCGGATCTTTATCAAAAAAGGGTACTATCTACAAATCCAAATTTGGTAAAATCACCTTGATGATAATACACTTTGTCTAATATAATCTATTGGTACACCAAACCTGGAACACATTTTCCAGATGCGCTCAAAAATGCACATTTTGCCCACCTCTGAACAGTAAATACATTTCATTTCTTATTATATCAAATCTTCAATACATCGAGAGTTTACTATAACGAAACTGAGTTGTCAAATCATCAAAATTTCAATTTTTTAATTGCTCTGGCTTACAGCGGTTTTTTAAAAAACCATTTCCTAGCATAATGCAAGCAGTCAAGTCAGTCAAGTGTGTCGTTGCTGGTGATAATTGCGCTGGTAAAGTATGTAAAAAATATTCCTATAAGCACATTTCGAATAATAGTTTGTTTAATTATTCTGCTATTTCTTTTTATACTATAGACTGAACTTTTGATATCTTACACAACCAACGTATTTCCTGGTGAATATATTCCTACTGTATGATTTTTTTTCTTAAATTGCTATAAAAAATAATTTAATATCATCTCATCGAATATGAATGTTCAAATAGGTTTTTGATAATTATCTAGTTACTGTCATGTATAATGGTAAACCATTACATTTAGGTTTTTGGGATACAACTGGTGAATATATATTTGCAAACATTCAAACATTGCTTCTCTACTTTTAATTCCTTTTCTATGTTATACATTGTATAATTGTTTTTGTGTAAATGTTTAATACTGCAGGTCAAGAAGATTACAATCTCCTTCGTCCTCTCTCGTATCCTCAAACAGATGTATTTTTGGTCTGTTTTTCTGTAGCCTCGCCAGCTTCTTTTGAAAACGTCAAAAGTAAATGGATTCCTGAGATTCGCCACCATTGCCCAGAAATTCCATACCTGATTGTTGGTACTAAAATAGA